CAAAAAGGAATACTCTAGGAGCAGGAGGTTAGGGTTGAAGTGCTCTCCATCATGCAGTTAAATCTCCTTCATCTGAGGAATCGGCTTTTCATCACTCCATGGCTAGAAAGGAGTGTCCTTTCCTTCTCCTTCTGCCCATTTTCGGCGAACCAAACGGCTTCTTACGGCAGCAGAAGCAAAGCAGGTGGGACGAATAAAAAACGTCCCACCGTATTCCACAAATCGATGATGTTCGGAAACCATCTGCTTGTGGACGGAGAAATGGACGAAAACAGGGTGCTTTCACCCTTGTCCTTCCAAGTGGTGCTCAGCCTCCTGGCCGCTGGCTCCGGCGGCTATACCCGCCGTCAGCTTCTCACCTTCTTCGACGCCGATTCCGTCGATCAGCTCAATCACTTCGCCTCCCGAATTTCCGAGGACATCATGGCCGATGGTGATCCCGCCGTCGGCCCTCGTATGCGTTGCTCCAATGGCTTGTGGCTTGACCAATCCCTTACTTTGAAGCCCTCTTTTAAACAGATTCTAGACTCTGATTATAGAGCCGCTCTGAACCCGGTGGACTTTCAGACCAAGGTAATGTTCCGTCATTTTTTAACTCAAAATCACAATATCTTTAATTAAATGAAATTAAAATTTTATATTACTCATAGCATCGTCAGGTTCTTTCCATGATGGTATTGACTTGTTGACTCCCTGCCATATGTCAACTTCATTGAGTTTCATGCCTAAAAGAAATCATCTCATTAATTCTTATATTAATTGATGCAGATATGTGCAGCCCGTTTATATTCTTCTTAAATGTATAATCAGCCTTTTTAATTTGTAAAAATTAGCATGAGTTCCCTGTTTCTTGCCGCAAGGCTTGAGGTGCTTGTTAGCTCGATTCACGAGTTTGAGAGAATACAAGGATTTCATGTGTCTCTTGGAGTATATTTTTGATTTTCTTATATATCCAGGATAAACAAGGAAATTAAGGTAATCAGGAACGACAACTTGTTCGCTTGAAGTGCTTCTGAAATGGCTATAATTTCTGCAGGCTCCTAATGTGAGGCAGCAAATTAATTCCTGGGTGGAAAATGAGACAAATGGCCTGGTTAAAGACCTTATCCGTGAGGGGTCTCTCAACAACTCAGTAAAACTCGTCTTTACAAATGCATTATACTTCAAAGGAGCATGGGATGAGGATGAAAGTCCACCCCTTCCAAGCACAGAGGATCGACGGAACGAAAACTTCACGAGGGTTCCCTTCATGATTGGGAAGAGGAGAGAATTTGGTAGATGGTACGACGGTTTTGAAAGGTTCTGTCAGGTACATAAAAAGCAAAGTGAAGATAGGCGCTGTTTCAGCATGGCTTTCTGTTATCCATTGACACACACTGGTGATGGGTGTATAGCCCATGTTACTGAAACCGTAATGGATGTACGTGACCGCTCCACCCCAAAATTTAGCTGTTCTTCCGAGGTGGAAGCTTCTAGTATGCTGAGGGGACTACGGGTAACATTGCCATTCTCCGGAGGAAGGTGGAAAGAGATGTTAAATTCTTTTACTGGTCCAAAGTTATATGTTTTCAGCATATTGCAGAAGTCGTTCATGGAAACAAATGAACAAGGGACTGAAGCTGCTACAGCCACCACCGCAATATTAATGTCTGGGTGTCCTGCATGTTTGCCCCATGTACCTAAAATGAAGTTTATAGACCGCATCCCATTCCTCCTTTATGCTGGAAAAGATGAGTATGGAGGTATTCTCATGGCTAAAATAGATTTTTTCATTATGCAGGTGGTCAATCCTCTTCCAATATAGTGTTCCTATTATGTGTCAGCATTATGAGTTGTAATTTAAATGTTTGACTCTCTTTAGTACTTTTTTTTTTTAATCGCACACTCTTATTCGATAATTTAGATGTTTGACTCTCCTTTGATACTTTATAAACTTCAAAATTTGGGAAGGGATGTGGGTTTATCTTAACCATTAAAATATGTTTTCTAATTTTGCTCTTAGTTATTGCTTCTCTCTCCTTTGCATATTCTTTCCTATCACAATTCGTCAATTCCCCACATATTCTCTTTCATTATTTTTCTCATTTATTGTAAGAACATATTTCAAAACAAAAGTATATTTTTAACTTATATATTATATTTAACTAATTTTAACTAATTATTCGATCTTTATGAATTAGTTATTTGAAATTTATAATAAATATCGAACATAGTATTTACAATAAGGAATAAACCAAATGACTCATTTTAGGTGAATGTGGAGCGCTTAAAATAAGCAGCACCAAACAAGCACAATATCAATGTGTTATATCATCAATATCATCATCAATTCATTCAATATTTAATATACTATGAATACCTCTTCCACCTAGCTAATACAAAAGCAGCTTATCCTTAGTTTAAGACACAAAATACTGTTCAGAAGCATGTAAGTATAAAGATATGTATTCCACCAGCTTGCAGTTAGCCGAAACTCATTAATTGCGTGCTTGTGGCTTGCTGCTCGGCTAATTTTCGGATTGTTAGCCTCAAAGATTCAGCACCGCAGAACATAGAATCAATAAGCACAGAAACATGAAGAAGGAGAAGAGGCCAAGCACTAAGAGAGAGATCTATATTTGCTTCCCTGCTCTAGGGCCGTTCTTGATCTCTCATATATAATGGAAAGGCAAAGTTTCATTCAAATTCAAAATCCAAATTGTTTAATTGAGCAGATCCCTCCGTCCCTCATCAAATTAAATAATATAAACTAAGACCCTAGAAGAAATTTCAGAGGGATTTGCCGGTTAGTTGCTCAGACAAAGAAGGCAAGGATGAGTTTCTTGATCTTTATACATTTGTTTTTAAAATTTTTATTAATTAAAAAATCTGAATTTGAGCTGCTAATTGTGTGTCACATATTTTCAATTCTATTCAAATGATTTCTATTTTAAATACTTTTATACATAATCAGAAGATAAATTTTATAGGACTGTGGAAAACACAGCCCTTTGCACTTTTAAGTTTTAACAAAGAATCAAGCACATAAATGTTGAATGACTCTTCTTTCTTGTTTTTTTTTTTTTTGGGCCTGAATACCAAATCACTGGTTTAATTGCCAACATCAACTTATTCTTTAATATTCACTTGGAGCTGTGATTGGAATTGTCTTAGGATTAGCTCTACACTCAAAACATTGTTCATAAGGATTTCCCAGCTTGATTACAAAACATGTGGCTTTGTGCAAGCCAAATTAGGTACATCCCCAAGCCTTGGGCTTAATGTTAGCCCATTTGTAGTGACATCGATTGCAGTTATATTTCAAATTTGAAATTAATGTGTGATCACCTTTGCATTTCTCAAAAATCCAAATTATTCAGACTCATAAGCTTCTTGAATCTTGATCAGCATAATTTTGACAACCACGTGTTATATTCAAAGGCCAAGGAAGTATATAGTTTGATTCTAACAAAAACTTTAATAATGAAAACTAAATATAAGTTAATTTTTTTAATCAAATTAACAACACATCTAATTTTGCGCTACATAAGTATCTAAAAATAAAATCTCAAAGACTTCTTTCTTTACAACATCTGATTTTGAATTAGTTTGATTCTCTTTTAGATTAAAAATAAATATTTTTTTGATTGCGTAAAAATAAATATTTTTAAATCCCATCCATTCTGCATACAGGACTGAGTGTGATACAGACTTTCATGATCATGGCAAATTCCAACATAATACTATAAAATTATGGCCTTCTAATAATACTTGGTTTTTCTCATCTTTTATCTTATCAAAAGAAACCCACACATCCAGTATACTTATAAAAAATTGAACACGCAAACTCCTTATAATAATTATTGACATGCGTGTAAATGAAAGCTATGTCAGGTTCTTTTTGTCCTGAGTTGTCTGGCTAGGAATAAGCACAAAATGTTCCAAGAGTCCTCTGTGGATTTCATTACAAATTAAAAATTTCTCTTTCATACGATGCATGAATTGAAATATTTGATTAGATTTTAAATTCTAATAAATTACAGTATTTAATGTAGCTCAAGATTTACTTCTTATAGGAGTACTAACTCCGGTCCTAATTATAAGATCTTGTTTATAGTCTACAAATGAGGTCTTATAATTAAAACTAGAGGGAGTATTATTTTTTTATTCATTCAAATGGGATTTGAATTAAGGACGCAGATCTAGGAGAACATATAACAATTTAAAATTATTTTTTTATTTCTTTATTTAAGCCCTTAATTGAGATACTATTTAATATGATGCTTCCCATTTAATTCAATATATTCAAATCCTAATTAAGATATTACTCAAATTTAAAATTAATTATTAATTTTTTTTCATTTGAGTCTCTAATTAAAATCTCATTTAATAATGAGACTCCTCATTTAATTCAATATACCCAAATTCCAATTAAAATATTATTCAAATCTCATTTATTGAATATATTCAAATCTCATAATATCATATCTGATCCATTTTTAAATGAATTGGATATTACAAGTTTTCAAAGATGTAGTTGATTGATAGTTGATGACGAGTCTGTATATTTATTTATATAATTTTATTATTTTAATTATATATATTTGATTTTTTATGGAACTTTCTAGATTCTCAAGCTAATAGAGTTTGATAACATTTTAGAAATTGCAAATTCTCCCAAGCAGCCAGAGAGAGTTATCGTGTCTCTATGTATATAATTTTTGAAAATGATATGATAATATTAATATTATAAAATTCAATGGACATCGCGACATTCTGAATTGTCGTTTTACTGCCCAATAGGAGTGAGCCCAGAAGAACCCAATAAGGAAGTTGGTCCGTAACAAAACCTTAAACAAACAAGAAAATAAAAAGAGACCAAATTTCTAATTTTACGGCCCTAGAGGGTACGTGGAATGAAAACAATCATTGCCCCCCCCTTAGTACTCTAAAACAACGCACCAAACTCGAAGACGGAAAAAACCTAGGAACAAGGGTTTGGGTTTGAACTGCTCTCCATCATGCGGCAAAATCTCCTTCATCCCAGGAGCCGGCTCTCCATCACTCAATGGCTGGAAAGGAGTTTACTTTCCTTCTGGCCAGTTTCGGTAAACCAAGCGGCTTCTTACTGCAGCAGAAGAGCAGGTCGGAAAAATCAGATGCCCTCTCCCATAGATCCATCCGCGATCTTCGGAAAGCATCTACTTATGGACGAAAAACTAGAAGAAAACAGGGTGCTTTCTCCTTTTTCCTTTCAACTGGTGCTCAGCCTCCTTGCCGCTGGCTCTGCCGGTTTCACCCGCCGTCAGCTTGTCAAGTTCTTCGGCGTTGATTCAGTCGGCCGGCTCAATCGCGACGCCTCCCAAATTTGCGGCCCCATCATGGCCGATGCCGCTGTCGGCCCTCGTATGCGTTGCTCCACTGGCTTGTGGCTTGACCAATCCCTTACTCTGAAGGCCTCTTTTAAGCAGATTCTAGACTCTCATTATAGAGCCGGTCTGAACCCAGCGGACTTTCAGGCCAAGGTAATGTTCCGTCACTTTTTAACCCCAAATCTAAAGTGTCTTTAATTAAATCAAATTTAAATTTTATAATTTGTGCAGGCTGTTGATGGGAGGCAACAAATAATTCCTGGGTGGAAATGAGACAAGTGGCCTGGTTAAAGACCTTATACGTGAGGGGTCTCTCAACAGCTCAGTGAAGCTCGTCTTTACAAATGCACTATACTTTAAAGGAGCATGGCGTGGGGAATCACTTCCATGCCTTTTAAGCAATAGCCAAGAGGAGCAAGAAGACTTTGATTTAGATCCCTTCTCGGCTGCCATGAGCAAGGAAGAATTTGGTAGATGGCACAGGGGTTACACAATGCTTATTCAACAATTTAAAAAGCCTAGGAAAGACGAGCGCGATGCCGAAATGTATTTCTGTTTCCCAGGGATAGACGCTGAAGATGGGCGAAGAAGCCTTGTTCGTGAAACCTTAATGGATGCAGGCGGGCACACGACCCCAAAACTAAATATTACTTCCGAGATGGAAGCTTGTGATGCGCTGAGGGGACTGGGGGTGACATTGCCATTTTCTGGAGGGAAGTTGACGGAGATGTTAAGTCGTTTTAATGGTCGGAAGTTATATGTTTTGAGCATATTTCAGAAGTCAGTGCTTGAAATGAATGAACAAGAGACTGAAGCTGCATCAGCCAGCACCGTGATTGTAACGTCTGGTTGCCCACCATCTTTGCCGCCGGTACCTACAATACGCGCGGAACCTGGATACCCCTTCTTCCTTCATGGAGGTCTTCTCGCCGCTAAAACAGACTCGGCGTTTATGGCATTATGTCCTTAGTAATCATTATGTCACGAGTTGTTGTTTAAAAATTTGACTGTCCTTAGCATTTGTTATTTTTATTTCAATTTCTCAGATGGAGGAAGGATCTTGTCACCTGCTCTATATTTGGCCTACAGATGCGGTGTGTGTGTGTGTGTAGATACACACACGTATATTGAAATAATAAGGGCACAGTACAAATAAGTAAGGATAAATCCAGACAAAAAGATCCCTACTTTGAAGGGGTGGATCGTTGAGGATTCTGACATCAACTCTCTCTTGCTCCGCCCGATGAGCAAAATTTTTTTTTCCAATGAAAACTGGAAATCTAACCTTAAACAAAACAGAATCACCCTCTTTTATCAATTTCCACCTCTCCATTTAAGGTTGGTTATTAATCAAAGAGGAACCAAGAATTATCCAACATACCTGCTAATTTAGCTAACATATCCACTGCGCCAATATGGTACAACCCTCTCAAAATTACATTTACAGCATCAATGCAGTCACAATGAAGAGCTATAGTCCTCTGGTTTAAAAAAAAAAAAAGGGCTATAGCCCTAGAGCCTTTGGTCCTACGAAGATTTAGACCTTGCACAATTCCAAGAAGCTCGGCCAAACAAAACATTATATTTCGTTTTTATTTTCAAACGAAGTATTATTTTATTTTTAACTTCTCCCCAAAAAAAAAATGCATTTAAAAAGAATTGTTACATTAATTGAAAAGCGAATGACATTTTCACTCAACCATACATAAATTGATAAATATCCATTTTTTTCAGACCCGTTGTAATTTGCTCCCTTACCTAAGCACCTCTTCCCACCTCTATAACCCTGCGAATGATGTCAAGTCACACTTTGTTGCTTGAAAATCATCAGTCTTGTGAGAATTCGATCAAGGAAAATGTGAGACGGGTCCTGGTATTATGCTAAGCTGCTAACATTAATCCAAATTAAATGAAACAATGTCATAAAATTTATAGACTCAAGCAATATATTTATTGCTCTACCCTGAAACTTATTAAATCACTGTTTAAAGTTATAGCAGTATAAATTTGTGCTCTATATGTGTAATGGAATTTTTGTGCCAAATAATGTGAGTATTTCGCCAACACAATCAATATTCTTATCGGTTAATTAAAATCTCCGTCTACTTCTTGGTTTTTTTTTTATTTTAAAAATAAGCAAACATCAATTTTTATATTGTCATGCCTGGCTAAGCAAAACTGATTACATGATTAGTTGTACTAATTCACAATGAAACTTATCATGGGGCATTCCTGACTAAGAAAAAGTGAATAGTTATTTTCTACACAAATCTAGGTAACAACTTTGGTTGAACTAATTCTATAAAAGTTGTGGAACTTTTTCATATGATCAGCAATCATTCCCTTCTGCTTGTTTCTTTTTTCTTTGGCTAGAGCGCAAAGCAAAACCAGTGTTGATCTACAAGTGCTGGTCCCAAAATCAAGTCACAATCCCCAATGTTGTAACCCACATATTCCTCCTGTAGTTCCTTCTTTTTCACTGCAACACTCCACCTTGGCCTACAAAGTTTGAACTACAAAATATGACACTATAAACATATTGACATAAACAATCGCTGAAATAAAGTAATGTTACAACAACCTTACCATAAAGTAGGCATCAAACGTGTGTCATCCAACTTGCCCACCGCCCTCTTTTATTTCTCCCATCAGCATGCAGCACACCATTGACATGACCTGTTCACACATGAGAAAATTAGTTTCAGCTTGCACAACATCTATTATAAACGATATCTTATTAGATGGAGATTTCATTACATGGTTACTAACTCTATGCATTCCGTCCAATGACCTTAGATCATCACGAGCTACATAGAAGTCATACAAATTAACCAACCTCCTCCAGGTCAAGTACACATTTTGCTTATATATAGAACTAATATTAACTTCCTAATTAGCTCCTAAAGCAGTATTATATATGGAAAAAAAACCTTAATTAAGACACGACAAATAATATTTTAAAGATGGTAAAAGATAATTTTTTAAATATCAAATGTACTTCATAATTTCACAAAATTTCAAAAGAACATTCTAAATTATACTTGGTTCTTTAAGATCATATCGAGTTTCATTTCAGTCCATTAAATTGGGAAAAAAAAGGGGGGGTTGTATTTTAACCTCTTAATCCCAACACAATTGGTTTTATTTAAGGGAAAATACTAACTCACAAGTTTAAATGGTAATACTACAAATAAATGCAGACAAAACAGACTATAAATTTGAATTTTTTTTTATATAATCATTTCTATAAATGCTTAAATTTGTATTATTTGAATATTTTAAATATTTTATCATATATCTAAATTCTTAAATTTTTGAATTAAAATTTAAAGTATGTTTTGTTAATATTTAATTGTATAACCGCCTTTTAATTTGCTGAGTTGACTTTAAAAGTGATTAATGGTGCTGCGACCATGAGATTAAAAATATATCTTTTAAATTTAAAGAATTAAATTAAAATCTGAAAGGAATATTAAAAAAATTAAACGCATGCTTTAGCCTAAAATAAAAGTTTAAGCAAATTTTTTAAATATTCATCCCTTTAATTTGCTAAGTCAGCATTTTTTATGTCAAATGAGATTGATTTGAAATAGTAAAAATACATTTTATAAAATTAAGAGAATAAAATGAAAATTATTGATATAAAAGCAGAACACCAGCGTATACTTTGGCTCACCAGCTTTTTTGTTTTTTTTTGTTAAGAATTTCCGTTTATGCAGAAATTAAATATGAAAATAATAATAATAATAATAATAATAATTGGAACTGTTACTTTGAAAAGTTATGTACTTCTTTTTCTTGAAAAAATTAGTCTTTTGACAAAAAAAGGTCTATTCACAATTTTGGTTAACATTAACTCAATATGTTTGTGATACGTGTGTGTGTGTGTGTGTGTGTGTGTGTGTGTGTGTGTGTTTATATAGTATATGAGAGGGACTGAGGATATTGCACAGGTGATGATGGACAAAATCCTTGCGGAGTAAAGAAGACTACATTTTTGCCAAAAACGAAAAAAGAGTTTAAATCTGAAATTTCCGGTTATGCAGTACTCAGAATTTGGAGCAGAAAGCTCTAAAGCGTTCCCCGCATGCTTTCAGAATTAACAATCCCATCCAACGGTGAAAATCCCATCAAAATCTGCTTCAACACATCGTAGGCTGCTCCACTTTCCACCCCGACCACCCTCTTAGGTCCATTCGGCCTTTGAGATTTCTGTTCTGTAACTCTCCGCCCACGTCTCTGCAACTTTTGTCACTTCCTCTATCTCTCTCTTTCTGAGCTACAGAACATGAACCACAAGACAGAAACAGAGAGTCACAGGGAAGCAGAAAAAGTGGAATACTTGGTCTTCACAATAAGGATTTGGGAGTGAAAGAGAGAGAAGAGAGGGATTTCAAAATAGAATATACTATCTCTCTCTCAAAATCATAGCCTGTTGCTAAACTTGCAAGAGAAACAACAGTCTTCAGAGTAAGGCCCGGTGAGACAGAGATTTTCAAAAAAGTACCAACTTCGTTTTCAAAATCATAGCTCGTTGCTCGAGTTAGACTTGGAAGAGGAAAGAAAAGAAACCCAAATCATCCAAGCAACACTGCAAAAATGGGTTTTTCTTTTCCACCACTTACTTTCCTCTTCTGTCTCCTAGTCCTTGGGACAGATTATTTATGTCTTGAAAGAATTCCTTCAAGAGTTTTGTAAAAGAAAATCACGTCACATTAAAGATATGAATGTTGTTCAAGTGAGTTTGGAGGCATTTGGGAAGTTGAAATGTTGAATTGTGCATGGGGTGTTTGACCACTGGGCCATATCTTGTTGCCTTCATGACATCTTTTTGGGGAATCACAGTAATAATTAGGAGAAAAAAAGGTTCTTCCATAAAAAAAATGTTGTCTCTACTTTGTACATAGCATACCATCCTATGTGCAAGACTAATTTATTTTCCATGAAAATGCAAAAAACTTACAAGCAGATAAATGCTAAACTTTTCCATGAAAATGCAATCTAAAATGCCATTCCAAAATAAAATTGTTTGGGCAAAATTTTTGAAATTATTAGGTTTTTTGGGGGAAAAAAATTAGACCAGGCACCAATATATAACCATGGGGTTGGAAAAGAGATTGATTTATTGTTGGTAAAAAAAAAAAAGGGGTCTGTTTAGATTAGTGATAAAAAAAATTTTATTTTTAATTTAATTTTTAAAAAAGTAAGATTGAGTAATGTGATTTGTGGTTGGATTGGTTTTTATAAAAATTGGTTTGTAAAGTTAAACAATTATTGGTTTATAATTGAATAAGTAAGTTTAATTTGTAGAATGATTAAAATGGGTATGACTTTTATTGAGTAATAAAAAATAATTAAAAATACGAATTTAAGAAATATAAAGATTTTAAATTATTATCACAGGAAAAAGTTATATTTAATAAATAAAATATATTTAAATTAGAAATCATAATAATGTGAAATTTTTTAAACTAAATAATATTATATAATTAATTGGATAATAGATTCTACATAATTTGTGTAAATATAAAATAAAAAACATTAAAAATTGAAAATGAATAATTAAAAAGGTATTGGGAAGTAAAAAAACATATAGAAAGAGGCATAAGAACAATATAAATATAGGGGTAACAATATCTTTTGATTCCAAAAAGCTGATTTTTCACAAGTCATAAGTAAGTTATACGTACTTTTTGCAATCATAATTAAAAAAACAGTTTTTGATCTGTAAATCAGATTGGTCAAAAATTATGACAAATAGCTCTCAACTTTGTAAACTGACTTTTTATATTTATAAGTTATTTTTTTCTCCTCAAAACGCCTTACCTCTAACTGAATAAGCTAAAAATTGGCTTGCGACAAGGTCACAGTTGTCACAGTATGTATTACTTATAAACGGAGGAGGTAATTTCAATATCATTATTTAAATATAGAAGTGTGTTATAATGTGTTGACACTTTTGCGATAAAT